AATAATTTTACGTTTATTATTATATAAATATTATTTTTTAAATTATTTAAAAAAAATTTTTTAAAGTTTTTTTTTTTAATATATAGTTTTAGTTATATTTAACTTTTAATATATATATTTAATTATATTTAAAATTTATTAATTTTTTTAACTTTTAATAATTTATATTTAAAGTTTATAATATTTATAATATATTAAAAGGCTAAAGGTATTTTGTAATTTTATAAATTTTTTTTATAATTATTTTTTTAAATATTATTTTCTTTAAATATTTTTATATTTAAGATAATATTTTTTAATTTAAGGTTAAAGTTTTTATAAATAAAGCTATTTATTTATTATAAAAGTATTATTATTTAGCTTTTTTTTTTTATAAAATAAATTTTTTTTTTAAGTTTAGGGATTTTTTTTTTTTATTTTTTTTTAAAATTTAGCAGTTTTTAATTATATAGCTTAATTTACTATAATTATAATATTTAAACTTTTTCTTTTTTTATATAGTATTAAAGTTTATTTTTTTTAATTTATTATTATTATTTTTAATAATATAATTTTATTATTTTTTACTTTAGTTTATTTAATATTTATTTTTTTTATATATTTTTTTAAATATATTTATTTTTAATTTATAAAGTAAATTATTAACTTTAATATATTTATTTATAAATAATATAAGGTTATACTTAGCTTAGTTAAAATTATATATTTTTTTTTTAAGTTTAAGTTTAAGTTTATTATAAAATTATTTAATAAAAGCTATTTTTCTTTAATTAACTTTAATAAAAACGTTTTTAAAGCTTATAATATAATTTAAGTATTTCCCTTTTTAATATATATTAATAAAGCAGTTTTTAATTATATAGATTTCTTTAATATTTTTAAAAACTTTTTTAAATTTTTTTATATATTTTTTATAATTATTAAAGATTTTTTAAATTTTATTATTAACTATTTTAGCTTTTGCTTTTAAATAATTATTTAAAATAGATTTAAATTATTATAATGCTTTTTCTTTAAGTTAAAATATAATAAAGTAAATTTTTTTTTAAAAAATGTTAAAAGTATTTTTAAAGTCTTTAAAGTAAGCCTTAAGTTAAATTAAATATCCTTTAAGTTTTTTAATATTTCTATTATATATAAATAATAGTTAACGTTTAATAAAAATATTAATATTTTTTTTTTTTAGTTTTTTTATTAATTTTATTAATTTTAATAATAAATATTTTTAAAAAAACTATAATTTATTTTTATAATATTTTATTAATATTTTTTATATTTTTTATAATAATATTTCCTTTATTATTTATTTAAAATTTATTAAAGTTATTAATTAAAATATTAATATTAAATAATTTAAATATAATAGTTTTTTTTTATTTAAAAAATAATTAATATTTTTTTAAATAAAAATTATTAATATATAATATTTTAATTTTTATTTTTAATATAAAATAAAAGTTCTTAAAGTAATAAATTTAAATTATAGGTTTATATTAATAAAAAAAATAAAAAATAGTTTTTAAATAATTATAATTATAAATATATAAAAGTAAAATAAAAAAAGTAGCTTATATTTAGTTTTAATACTTTATTAATAATTAGCTATTTAAACTATTTAAATAAATATAATAAAATAAATTTATATATTTAGTTATTTTTTTTAATTTATATTATAATATCTTTTTATATTAAGTAAGCTTATAACCTTAATATTACAGCTTACTTTTTAAGTTATATATACTGGAGTAAGCTTAGAATCCTTAATCTTAATTAATTATTCTTCCCGTTCTTTACCCAGAGGATACGTACTTCTGATCAGGTCGTAACACATAGCGTGCTGTCGTGCCCTTAAATGAAGCTGACGTATTCCTCGTCGAACGAGACGACATTAACCTAGCCCGCAATACTATCACGTTTATATTTTTAAGACGACTGGAATATTACCAGGGCATCTTAATCCTGACCACTAATCGTTATACAAGCTTTGATCCAGCCTTTAAGAGCAGAATCCATTTTTACTTGGACTATTCCAATCTATGTGTGCATACGCGAAGGACTCTCTGGAGGAATTTCATGGCTGGCTTGCCGCTGTGGAAAGGTGACAGTCGACGTTGCAGAATACGAACTCGAAGGACTAGCCAAATTCCCATTAAATGGGAGGCAGATCAAGAACATTATGAATATTATTTAGATAGTGGCTGTGAGGAGGGAGATACCTATCACCTGCGAGGGAATACACATAGGGGATTCTCGCATCTTCTTTTCGAGGCTGGAATTTGCGGGTTGAACTGCATGTATTTTTCGAGCTAGTACTCCGAATGTCATCACTTTTGCACTATGGAAATTACAAGTACTATAAAGGAAAGAGTTTTTCCACCTATGGCATTCCATCAATCATGCTACGATCAAAACAATGTTATGGATCGTGTGCAGTCTGTGCCTGTTTTGAGTTAGTGTTCAAGGTTGTAAGCGGCGATGTTACCAGCGGATCCGGATTTATGATTGCTATGACCCGCAAGGCTGACCCCTAATAGTAAGCCAAACAGGATCTAGCGAATCGGATCAGCCATATCGTATATGCAGACTAAGGTGGCTGAAGTGGTCTGGTCTCCACTTTTCGTGAGATTCAGGGAAATTTTCTATAAACGCCCAACATCCATCCACTCCTCCAGCTTTAACTATACTACTCTTCTAACTTAGCAAGAAATTGAAAAGAGTGCCAGATTATTCTCTGTGATAGCAATCTTTTTCTTTTCTTTAAAACCAACCCAATGGTACGAGGGCCGCGTGTACGGCATGTACCAAGCCAAGAGGGGTATACAGCGCGGCGGTCAAGGGCATACAAGCCCAAAGTGCGGACAGGTTGTAGAACGTGGTAAGGCTCATTTTATTACCCTGAAGCTCTATAATTATCTGCCACTTCTCAGATTGTCTAATACTTGACTAATCATCAACCGTCACTTAGCAAGTAAGCGTTTACGAGAATGCTGTTTTCATTGGCTTACCCTCGAATAGAAAACGCCGGCTTAAATGTGGAGAGGAGAAGCCAATATGCTTGAAATGTAGCTCAGGGGGGTTTATTTGCGATGGCTACAGTGACCAATCGGAACAAAGTGAACAAGATACCCTCCGAGTACCAAACACTTCCAAAGTGCAGTTGCAGCTAAATCAGCAACTATGGAGACCTATTGCAGCTGATATTGATGCAACTCATGCAGAGCGACTGCTTTTTCACACTTTCAGAATTGCAACAACCACTGACGGAATGTCTGGCCTTGAATGTCCGCTTGTTCCCTTCTTCAGCCAGGTGTGCCCGCAAGTTAGTCATCAAGAAGCTGCCGTAAAGCACGCTATGATTGCTCTTGGATCAGCCTACCAATTTCTCCAGTTATCTAATTCCGCAGCGGCTCGTAGCGGCACATTTGAGAGGTGGAATATATTTACCACCGAGCAGTATATTAAGTCTATGTCTCAACTACAGAAATATACCGGTGAGCAAAGACAAGAACACGTCATCTTCGTTCTCATCTGCTGTCTCTCCTTCATCTGCCTGGAGATTCTACGAGATAATCGTATTGCCGCCCACACACATCTTATAAATGGACTGAATATTATCGATAGCCTGCCACCCTTTTTATTTCGCTTCCTTAATAGTCCGGCAGCAGCGACAGGGCAAACAAAAGCCGAATTGCAAGACACAATCAAGATATTCGGCAGGATTGAAATGTTTGGTTGCTTCTTCTCACCTGGCTTTCGACCCGTCGTTGCAATAAAAGCCTACAATTCGCGGAGATTCCATGATGGTTCAGACATGGAAACCATACACAATTTAAAAGAAGTACATTTTCATGCGGTTAACTACTTTAGAGACATCATGAGTCGCTTTTATGAGACCTCTGTTCACTTTGGCGATGTAACATTCTGGTCACAGCCTGCAGAGCAAAAGCAGCAGCGAGCGCTCGTTATACGAGCTATCAAGTTGGCGACCCTTTTCCAGACCCTTGCTGAGGCGCCAGATACTCCACAGCCAGGCAGCAATAACTTCTTCTGCATTCAGCTAGATCAGTTACATATCTGCTGCGCAAAAATTCTCTTGGAAAGGATGGATAATTGCCACCTTCTCGATTCTATGAGGCTCGTCTTCCCAGAATTCCCGACACTAAATGAGCTAAGGCAACAACTCAACGCCCTCATCACCCTTATTCGCCCATACGCCGCTAGCATACCATTGAAGAAACTAAACTTTGGCTTTGCCCATGATGCCTGCATTGTCGGTCCATTATACTACATTGCAGTTTGCTGTGGGGATTCATCTGTGAAGAATAAGGCAAGCGACCTACTTTATGAGGTGAACAAGTTTTGTGGTGGCTTCTGGGATGACACTGCGATTCAAAAAGTGGCCGGCATTGCTATGGAGGCCGTCAGTCAGCATGGATGATGTACTCTAAGGCAAGAGAAAACCTAGTATACGCAACGATTTACTCCACTAAAACGCGTCAATTTGTAAATTAATTAGTGATTGAAGTAATGGACTTCAGCCGTATTTTATTCAAGCCTCATTAATATTCACAATTAATTAATGCTACTTTACTATACCTATAGTCCTAAAATATACTTTTATATTAAGATTTTAAAGTGAGGTTTGATACTGCTTCGGTTACCTAATTTAACTATCATAACTGTAATTATGAGCAAAAGAAATACATGGTAAGTAATATGTAAGGAAAAAAACAAAAGCTTTAATATAGTAGAAGGGTGTATTTATTTTGGACTGCGTAGCGACGTAAAATCACTCTGAAGAGAGAATTAAACAAAAAGGAAAAGATAAAGATAATAGAAATAGTAGACAAGTCTCCACAGCTCTATTGAACAGTAGGTATAGGTATGGTAAAATATATCAATAAAAATCTTAATAATCTAATCTGAAGGATAAGGGTAGGATCTCTCATATACTGAATCCAGGCGGACCTTTTGAAATAAGTCGGGCTAATACTACTTACTCTATAAGTTAACAGGCATATCAACCGTTATGAGTACGCCAGTGCTTTCCAATCTTTCTGATATCATCAGCCAATGCCGGCGGATTATCTAGGCTTGGGAAATGACCACCAAACTCTTGGACTATAAGTATTATTAATAACTCCCCTTTTAATAAAATGACAAAGCTAAGATTCCTTACATGAATAATCGACGAGATTCCCGACTGTTTCAACTAGTGCTTTTGGCCAAAAGAACACATTATGTTGAAAGTTGCTAAATAGCAGAGGTGCGTCTGTATTTGCTTTTGTGTAATTCGTTGTAAATCCATTGGGATTCTGGTAATATATATACACGGAAGAGATGAATGATTGAGAAAGATAATATAATGACACATGTCGAAGAATTTCATTGTGTGTAATAAGGGACGGCCCCGTTCCTTGTCGTGGGTCAGACCCTATATATATCGCATTACTATCTCAGATCATGATGGCAGACGACAGCGAAAAAAAGGTTCCATTACTTACATGAAATGATCTTTTCCGCAATCCATGCCAGTTGCCCAACGGGATTGTCATACAGGCAGAGACCAATTGTATTCGGCTGGAACATATTAGTTAGAAAGCTTGAGGTACTCGATAAGTGGAAAATCGTTCATACCTTGGTGGCCTGTTCAGAGAAATATGCATTTCCTGTGTTTGCCCACTCAAGATACCTATTTTCCTGGATAACTTCCTCTGGAGATAGTGCGATATTCGCAGCGGCTAGTTGCTCTGTGTTAAGCGGAGTGAATGGCAAAAAAGTCAGGTGTGTCGCCCGAACAGTTGTGTTGAATCGGTCGTATAAGTCGTACCCCACAACACATCCCCAGTCAGTCCCGTGTACTGCATACGTCTTGTAGCCCAAAACTTCTGTCATGAGTTTATTGAATATATCCGCAGTATTAGACGTTGTCCAGCCATCAGGTGCGGGAGATGAGAGTGCGAATCCCGGCAGTGAGGGTATCACAACATTGAAAGATGTATGCTTGGATCCTGTAGCTGGACTCTCCAGGACAAGCAAATCGACTAGAGGCAGCATCTCTAGGAAAGAACCTGGCCACCCATGTAGTAGAATGATTGGTATAGCGTTAGGATCCTGAGATTTTTCATGGACAAAGTGTATATCTCGTCCATCAATCTTTGCAATGAAGTGATGGTATCTATAGAAACAGTTAGTTTGTTTTATATATAAGAGTGGTTCTCATGCTAGGCCCTACTGGTTGATAGAGTTCTGCTCCTTTTCCCAATCAAAACTGGTAGTCCATTCTTTCTGCAGTTGTTGAAGTATAGATAACGGCATCCCTGTTAATAAGGTATTGTTTGGACCATTTTTAGCAGTCTGAAGTTCAGTAGCTGGAAGGTGAGTTCCTTTTACAAGGTCGATCATGTGCGGCACCCGTAGAGTAAAATCGAGTGTTATCGGCCTGACATTGGGTGGTCCCATATTGGCTGCTGTAGATAAAAGTCCGAGGGCGAGTATTAGTAAAGCGGATGTCTTCATATTGCCACTGCAAAGCGGCCAATTCAACACGCGTTTGCTTCGCTAGAGTAAGCAATATCACCAAGGCTTCATTGAATCCAGAGATCATATACAGTCAGTATACGATAGGATAATATTGTTGAGCGCAGATATTCGGATTTTAGCTGTGAATTGGTGTTATTGAAAGGTCATAGTTAACCAGTTACAAGATCGGGTAAGACCTCTTACTTATACGCAATCTGAAGTCCACAAAGATAGATCAGAATAGGTTTTCCTCATAAGTTAACAAATATTTCCACAAAACATGCTTACATATTTAATATTAGATTTGTAAGAGTCATATACTATTTAAATTATCTTAATTAATTTATAAGCTTGACTGATTATAAATTTATATTATATATATCTTAGGATATTTAAATTTAAGAATGACATTCTCTTCTACTTTACATATACGATATGTTTAATCTTATTGGCTGGACTGCGTAAATATAGAAATATAGCATAGTACTATTAACATTATTTATAATACATCTACTACTTTGAACAGCGGAGTTAAATTAATTCATAACGAGTCAGCATCCTAGGCGTATTTTCATCAGAGGGATATAGCCCGTCTGCTACACGATTCAACTCCAGCTCTGGGAACAGTGTAAAATGGGGTGCCCCCACTTAGAATAAGCTGCATATACGATAAACCTCAGCTTATTCGCCAAAGTTTATAGCCCTTGCTACTACCTCGGCAGACTAAGCTATAGTCACTAGTTGCCGAAGACACTCTATAGAGCACTATAGAATTTTGAGCCCCAGTAATCAAAACGAAACATATTCATCAGATGTACATAAATATGTAAACCGAGCGTCCTTTGTGTACGAAGCCTTATACTCTACTACTTCAAGATTGCGAGTCTTGGACAGTGAAAATTATAACTCGAAAATGTCAGCTCCCGTGTGGTTTATCACTGGCACTTCACACGGTTTCGGGCTCCTCCTTAGCCTTCAAGCTCTTCATGCTGGACAGAAAGTCATTGGCACAGTCCGGAATAAGCAGCATTCACTTGACGCCGTCCAGTCGATCGAACAAGCAGGTGGCAATGTCATCGAGCTTGACATGACTGAACCACGAGATAGCATTATTGAGAAAGTGCGGACAGCAGAGAAGATTTACGGTAGAATCGACTTCCTCATAAATAATGCTGGCTACTCAACTTTGGGACCAATCGAGTTCTTTACGTAAGTGCTCTTATCATACTACCGATTTAGAAATAACTTACAAAGTGTGGAATAGTGAAGACGATGCTTCCCATCAGTTCCGAACGAATGTATTTGGACCACTCTTCACTATCCAGGCTGTGCTACCCGGAATGAGAGCACGCCGCCTCGGAACTATTGTGAACATCAGTAGCGTTGCTGGCCAAGATGCGCTAGCTAGTTGCGGCCTATACGCTGGGAGCAAATTTGGCCTTGAAGGTCTAAGTGAGGCTCTGGCGAAAGAGGTCGGCAGTTTGGGCATCTCAGTTCTCATTGTCGAGCCAGGAGCGTTTCGTACAAACTTTTGGAAAGCGAGCGTTTTGAGAAACGTCCCGGCAGGTGAAGGGTACGAGGGTACGCCAGTCGATACTGTCCTAAACAAGTTTCGTGGTTCTGCTGGTAAACAGCCAGGCGACCCGGAAAAAGCAGTAGACATTATATTTCAGGTGGTTACTGGCCAAGGGGCGGCTGGTCATTTGAAGGGGCAAATATTGAGGCTGCCGTTGGGCGAAGACGCAGTTTCTCGTATTGAAAAGAAGGTTCAATCGGTAAAGATAGATATCGAACTTTATCGTAAACTAGCGACTTCTACTGACTTTAGTAATTAAAGCTTTGATACGGTACTTGTGCAGCTTTTTGAGTATATTGCGGGCAAGAGAAAAACGACTTTGGGAGAGCGCACCGTAGCTCAACTGTGCAGGTACAAAGAACCCGGAACAATAGTCGGGGCGAAGAATCAACGAAGAAATATTCTTTTCTGTGTAACTGCTCGAATAGGGATAGTTCATAAGGAGAAACACTTGAAATGAATTGTAAATGCGGGCATCAGCATTACCTGTTCAGTGCGAAACCGCTACCATAAAGAACTCGTACAAAAGGGTACGGTATTTAGCTTGCCAATGCAGATTGCAGTTATTACATTTATTATAAGAATAGCTAGCCACGTAATGACTTCGGCTATACATAGGTTACCTAAGACTTCAAACAGTAATAACAACATCATAATGATCATATAATAGCCTTAGCTGAATAAATTGATGAGGGGAAAGATCATGTTGCTGTATTGTTTTGTAGTTCTACAACCCTTACCAACCACATTACGTTTGCTGAAGAGACCAAATCGAAAGAAACGGGCTGGCACAGCTCTTTTGCCAAGCCAATGCAAGATTCCCAGCTCTTGTACGTGAAACTCATCATTTCGATTTAGAAGAAAATCACTGACTCCCAAGTTGTGGATCATCTTGAACCTAATATCAGCCGCTCGTGGAGCTGGGCTCAAGTAATCAAAATCGGACCATCCGCCGTCGAGAATTGTAGCCAAGGGGGCTAGTTGGGCTAGCCGTTATACTGCCTATGCTAGGCGCAGAATGAAAATCGGTAACACACACGCGAGGATTCGAGGTGGCTTCATTGCCATGACGTTGTTGCAAATAGCTTCGAAAACCAAAAAGAATTATGCATCACGCGCAGAATCACAAGACAAGCGCATAGATAAGAGCTCGACGAGGGATAGAACAATAAGCATTCCGCAACGATAAAAAGCAAAAGGAACTATCTAGTACTTAGGTTCACCGTCGTCTGCTTATGATAAGCCGGCGTTTCTAAATGTTAGTATAGGAACGATTCAAGCCACTCTGGATTAAGAGTACTTTTGGCCAACGAGCAATAGTTAGCTTGCTTTTTATTTAATACTCTATCGGCAAATAATCTAAGAACATACCAGTTGGGAAATTATAAATTGTTTGGAATGTAGTATAAAAGCATATACTCCAAAATAACTTATGAACTTAATTATAATTAAGATTATTTTTTTGACCGCTTTGCTTCGTTTGGGATTCTAAGTGCCCTGCGACAGGTGTAGTGCATTTTTGGCATCGCCTAGCGTTAGTCTTTGCTTCTCATAAGCTTCTACTTATAGGTTCGCAATCTTTTGATTATAGATTTAGTTGCTTTAGGTATTTGCCGTAGATTGCGGCCAGTTTGCAGCTATTGTGAGCTTTTGCGAGTGTTATTTACCTTGTTAAGAAAGTGATCAGTTTAATTTATATTGTTGCGCTATTAGAACAGTATATGCCGTAGAGGCGATGTCTGCTGAGACAACCTCTGAGAACCCTAACCTCGGTTGCCATCGTGTAATCATATAATCGTGTAATCGTGTAATTACTTCGCTGCGCCTCAGCCAAGAGCTGCGACCTTAAAAGCTGAGGCCTAACGCTACTTAAGCGGAGAACAGGGCAAGGCGGAAATAGCAAGGGCACCACGCGACCTGGGAGGAAGCACCAGATTCCGATGTAAGCCAACTATGACTGATCCATTCCCAGTCGCGCCATGATCCCTGCTTCGCTAACCCTTCTCTAACCACGCCTGTCGAGACTGGTTACCTACATCAGAGTATCCAGTACCGATGCCAGGCCTAGTTCTTTCAATGTCAGACGCGATCCCTCAAGGTCGGCAAAGTGACTATCGGGAAGTTCAGAATCAAACGCCTCACATGTAGTCTGAATGGCGAGATGCCACACGAGCCGTGTCACGGCACCCCTAACGTTTGATGGATGTCTGCGGAAGCACCCTGGTCTTCGACTGTCGAGGGCACGATGTTGATATGGGATCTCTGTGACATGCCAACCACTTCGGTGTATAATGAGAATGTTGCAGATCCACTGCTGGGTACATGTAGCATGAGAGAAAAATGAGTGAGAACTCCTGATCGTGCTAGATAGTATGGATAGAATTATGTTTCTTTTGTCAAGAGGCTACATACATATTTAATACACACGTTTCAATTCTCTGATGCCTGTCAATACTTTCTTACATTAACGGGTTACCTCGTAAACCTCACAGCTCTTTAAAGAGGATCCTCATCCATCACCCGTTAAATAACACTGCACATCGACTTCCCCGAAATCTTCTGCACCAAAGCATCCCTATCGCGGAACCTCTGCGGAAACTTGGCCAAATCAGCCGCCTTCATCAGCCCCCGCGCCTTAGATGCCTCCCCCAAGCTCTCCGTCTTGGACAACTTCCCGCCGCCGCCCGCCGCGCCGACAATGAGCCCCAACATGGCAAAGGGCGCAGACGTCGGGTCCTTTATGATGTCGGCAATGGTGACGGCCGCGTTCCCGGCCTCGCTGACGAGCAGCGCTATGCGGGCCAGTGCCGTCGCGCTGCCCACCAGGGGGCCCAGTGCTTCGCCGACAAAGGGGAGGGCCATAAAAACGAAGGTGAGGATCTTGAATATCAGCTCGCGCTTCTTCTCTTCCATGACCCGCTCGCCAATATCCTTGATGTCCTTCATGCTGTCAATGGACTCGGCCAGCTGCAGCACCGGCATGGCGAAGGCGACAACGGCCTCGAGCTCCGGGACCTGGACGGTGGCGTCATTGAAGATGTCGATGGCCACCTCGGCCAAGGTCGAAAAGAGCGTCTCCTGCAGCGTCGTGATGTTCGTCCAGGCGCTTTCAATCATCTCCTTCGGGTTCGCCACCACGATGTCGTCGTCCGAGGCCTTGACCGGCACGTTGAGCCGGCGCCGGTAGATGCGGCGGCAGACGGGCGCGTTCCCGTTTATGTAGGGCCGCCGAGGCATGTCCTCGGCCTCGGCTGCGCAGTCGTAGTCCTTACCCCTGTCGCCCCAGGCTATCCAGTCCTTGTCGATGCCCAGAGTCGCGGCCACGTCGTCGTAGAAGCCGTCCTCGTCTGTCAGCTCGTACTCGATGCTGAACGACTGTTCCAGCTCCCAGAAGTGCGGCACGCCCGTGCAGGGGTCGGTGCCGCTCCTGCTACCAGCCTCCCAGTGGCAGGTGAAGAACTGGTTGCCGGGCCCGTCGCCAAAGCGCATGTAGTCGTCCAGCTTGGGGTCGACAAGCTCCTTGATCCATTCCTCGTAGTACTTGAACTTGTCATCATAGTCGTGCGAGTTCTCGTCGAAGAGGGACAGACTCTCGAGGAGCATGTTGTTGAGCGTGTCTAGGGTGAAGTAGCTGACACAACGGTCATCGAGGTTGTCGATGACGTCGGCGATGCCCTCGAGCGTTCCGGGATTGTCCCCGTCGAGGCAGCCGTAGCCGGCGCCGTCGCCATCATCTTCCTCGTCGTCATCGTAGAGGGACTCTCCGCTGGCATCAGTATCTTCACCTGTGTCCTCGGTCGCAAAGGTCTCGAGGTCAATAGCCCAATCTGAGGAGCCGGCGAAGTTGAGCGTCTGGATCCATTTGATGCGCTCCGCCTTAAGGTCTCCGTCCATGTAAGCGACCCAGTCGACTGCCCCGTTGTTTCCATATTCGAGGATATTAGAGGCGGAACTTCCATCTATATAGGTCTTCACAATAGAGTAGTTGCCATGTTTGTTGATGATCTCGGTAATCTCGGCGTTCGAGATGTATCCGGCCGTGCTAGTGCAGCGTCCCTTGTACGCCTTCGAGTCCCCCTTTCCGCCAAGGAACGTGCACATTGCATCTTCGCACTTCTGATCTGCCATGCGGAAGCTTCGGCCGTAGCTTGTCACTCCAACGGCAATCTTGGTAGACTTGACGCCAGCCTTGGTAAGCATGGAGAGGGCGTTGTAGGTCTCCGTCTTGTTGACATGAGAGCGGAGGCAGTTGCCGCCTTCACAGCTGGGAATGGCCCATTTGTTATCCACATCTATCACTTGCTGTTAGACATTGAATTGATGCTAAGTAAGATCAAACATACCCCATTGGCCGTGCAAGTCATATGTCATGTAGATGAAATAGTCGACGTATTTGGCCATGTCCTTGACTGGGTATGCCTGTAAGTACCAGAACGATGCGGGGATGGCAATTGAAACGGTCTTGTCTTTTGGGAGCCTGGACTTGAGAAGAGAGAGAAAATCAAGATAGTTGTCTCCCTCACTAGCACTGCCGGGAGGAACGTCTGGGATATCAGGTGCCTGTCAAAGCTAGCGTCAGCATGTGTTACCGTCACTAAGTGGTTGGAGATATCAACTTACACCTGGATATTCCCAATCAAAGTCAAAGCCATCAATGTTTTCCTAATAAATAAATAGTTAGCCCCTAGCAAGTCCCACAAGAGTGTGTATAGGATCATGATACACACCTTCTTCATAAAGCTGACGAGATTATTTACAAAAGTCCCCCTGTACGCCGACGTAGTCGCCTGGCGAAACCTCTGAAAAGTATCAGATCCCGTCGAAAAGTCCCATCCTCCAAAAGAGAGAATCTTCTTGTATTCACCCTCCTTGAATGCACTGAATTCGGTTTCGTAGTCAGAGATGTCGACGTCAAACTCCTCCGTGACCGTCCCAAAGGCAAAGTGCACGTGTGTGAAGTTGTTTTTGGGGATGCTCTTGGGATGCATTGCCAAGCAGTCACGGTCGTAGCTGAACGCCTCATAGTAGCCGATCCTCTTGAACGAGTCTGGGGCTTCGTCGTTGTTCACGACGTCTGAGCCGCAGTGTGAGATGCAGCCGTTTGTGAAGGGCTTGGCTGTTCCGGGGGCTCCGGTGTCTGCCGGAGAGGGGACGCAAAAATCATCTGTCGTTCCGCAGAAGCCCCAGACGTTGCAACAAGCGTTGAGGGGGCATGGATTCAGGTCCGCAAGAGAAGTACCGTCGGTCGGCTTCTTCGTGCCTGGAACCTGTGGTCCGCAGGTAGCGTCCGCGACTGCTGCGGGCATGGGGGGATCTCCTGTGCTCAGACAGATAAGCTGCCCAATTTGAAGTGCACAGCCAGCCCAGCCCCAGGTCTTCTTGTTGAATGAGTCAATGTTGGCCTCCGTGATGCCGAAGGAGTTTGCGATAGAGTAGCAATCGTCCCCTGCGGCGACCTTGTAGCTGTGGCAGCTGCCGTCGGGGTTGGGTTTGGGGCGCATGTCGGGCAGAGTCCCGGCGGTGCAGCAGTAGTATTGGTTTGGCTTGAGCGTGGAGCAAAAGTTTGCCTGCGGGTTGAACTTGGTGAGATTGGCGCTGGAGATGCCGCAGCGAGTCGCCAGGTCGGCACAGCCATCTCCGAACTTGACCTGTTGGGTCTTGCAGTCTGCCCTGGCATAGAGAGTACGTGGCCCCTTGACCCCCAGGGTGGAATTGCTATGAAGGGGAGTGTTTGTGGTGTTTGTACTGATTGTTGAGACGAGAATATCAATGTTCATGCCGGCGGAGGGAGTTGAGCCGCTGAGACAAAGGCCGTTTGTCCAGCTTTTTACCGCAGCTTGGACGACGCCGAGATCAGGGAAGCTAGCAGCATAGACACCAAAGGTCAAGGCTGCCCTTTCAGTCTTGCAAACTTGAAAAGCAGTGCCACCATGCTGTGCTTGATCACGGAAAGTCGACAGCATCGCAGAGACGGAGCTCTGCGCCACTTCAGCTCCTGAATAGAGGCCGACCACAGCAGAGCTTGACTTGGCAAACATGATGGTGGTGCCACACTGAGAGGCTTTTTGCAGAAACATCGTGAGATGGCGGGTGGCTAACAAGACGTCCGTTGCGTTTGGTTTCGAGCCAGAGCCCGGGTGGGACACGCTCCCGTCAACCTCAGGAGTCACGGAAGATTTGACTGTCTTGCCGCCGCAGTTGTTTGAAATGGTGAGATTTCCATGGTCAACTCGACTGCCATCGTCTTGCAGCGGAGGCAGAGATTTTGTGTTGTATGTCTCTTGACCAGTGGACACGCAGGCCCGAATCGTGAGGATGGTTTGAGGGTCGTCGACCAAGGCTTGAACGTTGAGATCGAAGATGATGGGTAGATGGCAAGCCTTGAGCTCCCTCAGATGATGGACGTGCGTCCAGTTGGAGGGGTTTGGACCAGCGTGATTGCAAAGACTAGGGCATTCTTCCGCGTACTGGCCGTTATAGGTGGTTGTGATGGCGCGGCACGGAGAGACGAGGTGGCCCAGGGCGGCCCAGAAGACAATTGAACGCCGCATGGATAAGCAGACTTTACCACAGAGTAGCTAAGGGCGAATTAAGTCGAGGACAGAGACTCATCAGGAAGAAGAAGAACGAAAGGCTTCAATATAGTACCTCGGTGGTTGACTGCCTCTGGGAGTTGAGGGTTGCTGTCCCGTGACTCTGGCCTCATCGGAGCCGATATGTTTCATAGGACATATATCCGCCGCCTCGGTATGTCCTGTTGAGCCTGATGCCGAGTCTCGACTCTTGGCATCTTGTGCTGTTGGTAAGCATCGTGAGCAATATTGTGATATACCCGCCCGGAAGCTCATGGTGTTGAACAGCCAGACACCCGAGGAGATTGGCTACGCCTGCTAGGGCAGATACGGCCCCCACCCTGAGTGCAACATTATACGGCCCCATAGCGGCTTCACGCAAGGGTCTTTGAGTTCTTAAAGCCGGTGCCGACAAGCTTAACCCGATGCTTTGTTTTAGCCATAAAAATCTTCAACGGATATGCAGGGACCTCTTGTTGTTGGTTCTTTGTGGGGAAGTGGATCGTTACAGGGATCCGAATCGCTGAACTAAGACGCTCGCAAATTTCCCTCTTGGGGAACGCTTGAACTTCCCTTGGGATCTTTTGTCTGTCCGGGCCGGGATGCGGTCGACATTTCCGGGCTTCACACATGCTCGTTATCAAACTCGCCTACACAGGAAAAGGGGCATTTCATTCATGTTATCACGCGTTCCTTTGCCATTCTCACCTTGGGTGTCTTGTCCCTGACCTTCACCATCCATTGCCAAACATCTGACTTCATGCTCTGCGTCACCTGCAACAAAGTCACTACCAAACACAATGCCTGGCAGCCCGTTCACGACTCCTGCCTTTCTGGACAATGGCGAGTTCTTCATGGATCAGGGCAACGTCATCCAGATGAACTGGCCAAACGTGTCCGATGCGTTTTCCACGCCCGTAGCCATAGCCTCTGCTAGCTTCCCCGGCTGGGACTGGACTCGGCCTTGGCCGGGAGGCGACATCGTCAACGGCCATTCTGTGCATCTCACAGTCGCGCCAGAGGTTCTCACGGACCCGACAGTCGTGGTGGATGCAACGACGGTACTGTCTTCGTTGACGTTTGGCATTCCCGACAGCATGATTTCTGGCGGAAAGGCGCTTCCCATGGACCCTTCGTGGTACATCTGCCGCCACGTCTTCATCACGACGAAGCCTGAGGCGAAGAAGTCTGCTGATGAGGGCGACGGCTGTGGCTTTCTTGAGCAGGCTTGCCTGGACGACCTCGCGTCCATTTTGAGCAACGACTGGGGAAAGACGGATAACAACACCATGTGCGCCCAGTTGGCTTTTGATCCGTTGCCCGAGAGCTGCGGCAGCTCATTTGGATACGCGCGTCAGGATTCTTGGTGTAAGTTTCAACACAGTTGGAAGATATGATAATGGAAGCGTTTCTGACAAGACTGCATAATAGATGCCGATAACACCGTGATAGCGAACTCTGTCCTGGGGCCTCTCGAGACGATCCCCAAGCAGCAGCAGTACAGCTGGCGTATTGGAACCGGTTATCATTCTCCCTATGATCCCATTCCTTATGAAATAGCCGCCAACAGGACCTATCTCGTGGCCACAGCTTGGGGTTACAGCAAGAAGCTGGCTGCCAGTGCTAGGAAGACACCCAAAGTCACCTGGACCTGCATCTCGTCTGGAGACGCTTATGTGCCCCCTCTTCCGCCGCCGCCGCCGCCTTCGTCGACTACCACCACGACTCCCAGCAAGCCAACCTCAACTCCTACGGTAATTCCCAACACTGACGCCTACTACGATGATTTTACCGCTGGCCTGAAGCAGTGGACGACATACGGTGACTCATTCAGCTCGGATTCCAGGTTGCTTATTGCAGACTATTCCCTTGGGGACAAAGCCTTGCTAAAGAGTAGCTACTCCAATTTCACGTTCGAAGCCGACATCACCTTGCCCAGTGACTCGGGCAATGCAGGTCTCATCTTTCGAGTCTCGAATCCTAGCGACGGTGCGGATGCTTACAAGGGCTACTACGCCGGCATCAGCACGGAGAACAACGTCGTTCTGGGACGTGCAGCCAATGACTGGACCCAAATCAGCCTCGTTGACGTTGATATCGCGGCCAACAAGGCTCATCACCTCAAGGTCAAGGTCCGGGAGAACAAAATCGACGTCTATGTCAATGACATGACTAAGTCATTGATCAGCGCGACAGACAGCACTTACACCAGTGGCATGGACGGTGTGCGCGTCTTTGACACAGGCGCGGCGTTTGACAATGTGCAGATCTTTCCGCTGGCCTTTAAAGATGACTTTACCTCGGGCTCGATGGCCAAGTGGATTTCCTACGGAGGCGACTATGCGACCAAGAATGCTGCGCTAGTTGGCCAAGCTTCGTCTGGTGGCAAGGCGTTGATCCGCGATACGCTGTACAGCGACTTTGTCTACGAGGCGGACGTGACCATCTGGGATGAGAGTGGCGATGCTGGTCTTGTCTTCCGGGCTTCCAGTCCGTATGATGGAACGGATGGCTACTACGGCTATTACGCTGGTTTCGGCAACGGCTACATTGTTTTGGGCCGTTCTGACGACGGTTGGAATGAGCTGGCCAATGTCAACGCATCGATCCAGCATGGCACTGCTCACCATATCATGGTGCGGGCCAGGCAGAACGTTTTGTCCATCTTTGTGGACGACATGAATAAGCCGAAGATTGAGATGGGGGATGACACGTATCTTACAGGCTTGAATGGCGTAAGAGTGTATGAAACCAAAACGACGTTTGACAATGTGGTCATTTACACCATGTAGAGTACGTAGACGAGGCTTGCTGTATGAATTTCATTTTCTTTATTTTATTGTAGCCTCTGGACTATTGTACCTACCAACTACGGTACTGACTACATAATGTTGATTGCGAGGTTGATTGTTGTATGAGTTGAGTTGTTGTAAATGTTTAAGCTTAGAATAAGCTTACCCCAACTGTAGCTGAAAAGCTGTAACCCTTTAGTTCCCGTCTTCCCGGGAACTCACCGCCGATCTCTACTGAGAAGAAAACGCCGCCCAACTACCATCGAAATGAGCTCTTACATGCCACTCACTCTCTACAACCAAATCCCCATTTCTCGTAGTAAGTCCTAGGTGAAAACAGCAATTCATCCGGCAAGCGTAGACCTGAAAGTTCAACCATGGCCTGCAGTGCGATGTGCCCCCTCTTTTACCCCCCTCCCCCTGGTCGTCCACTTCCTCTTTTCACCTAGTCGCATACAGCTTCTGTTGTTGGTTCCAGCACCCTTTGTTTTCCAACTAACTGGACCCCTGTAAAGAGTGGGATCTTTACAAAAACCACGCAGATACAGACCGAAACCCTAGGACTGACAAATGTAACCTGATGTTGGGCCGCTCCATGAAGAATCAATAGTTCTCTGCTTCATTTCGCTTACTGATACAGAATTTATATCCGAGGCCTCGTAAATTTCCCCTCGAATTGGCCTATTATCATGCAGAGTAATTACGCGCCCGACATCACAACAAGCTGCAAAAGGACTCACGAAGCTAAGAGTCCCGAAGTCCTGGAACGACAAAGGTAACCCTATGTTGGGCCGCTCCATGAAGAATCAAAAGTTCTCTGCTTCATTCCGCTTACCCGATACAGGATTCATGTCCGAGCCTTACGTGAAGTTGTTGCTTGTAGCCCTCGTAAATTTTCCCTCGAATTGGTCTGCCATCTGCTCCAACAAAAAACAAGATCGTTCGCTGTGCAATTGATTCAATGAGCCCTACCAGCCTTCATTCTACGGCAATGTATTGACATCGCCGCTGACTTCTCGAATCAAACTCGTTTTATGTGGGCTTCATCATGCATCTACCCAGCCTATTGCTCCTCTGGCCTTTGGCCCTCCTATGTCTGTCTGGCGTTCTCGCCAATCAAGACTCTTCAAAGTACGAATTGATTTTGTACTGGCGCCTCAGGCAATTCATGATCAACTCTGTCGGAGTAAAAGGAAACACCGTCGCACCGGATTGCCCGAGCCCATGCGACTTCAAAGCCTTCATGCAAACACTCACCGTAAAAAGGAAAGGACCGACGCTAAAGAACCCAGATGGCGTGACCAACCAAAAAGACGCCAAAGGGAGAGCACTCCATCAGTATTACCCGGATTACGACAAAGACTTCACCGTTTTCACCGACAAGCTGTTTAGCGATCCCGAGGCGGCTGTCAAGGCGCTTGACAATGTTCAATTCACCGGGCAATTCAAGAAGGAATCACAGTTCAAGGGCGCAAAGACCTTCGGTGATATCATTTTAAGTGTCTCAGACGCCATCAAGAAATCCCAGGCAGCACTCGTCGCGGCCGGGAGGGACCCCAACGGCGGGTGGCTTAAGGAGATCAGGAATCTGGTCGGGATCGCGGCCAATGGGCGTCGCTATAACCGGGCGACAGCAATGACCGAGGAGTTCGAAAAATGGCTTAAAGCAAATGGACTCGAGGGTCTAGAGGTGAAAAAGACCGATCCGATTCAACGCGCGCCATTTGTCTACCAGAAGATAGATCTTCAAGCGACATATGATGAAGGTGTAAGGCGGGGCGTGAAAGGGATAGAGGATTGGGAAATCAAGATCAAGGTATGGGCTGTGATTCGGAACGCACAGGGCGCTGCTCTAGGCCATGTTAGGTGTATCCGTGGCCTTGACAAGATTGCTAGGATTCTGGACGCTAAATGCAAGTAAACAGCTTGTCTACCCCGAAACGAGAGGTGGTTATTGCTTTTCAAATGGGCGTCTCCTCAATTCAGCAGAAAAATTATATTCAGCCTACAAAGATACTTCATCTTGGTTAATACTTGCTTGAAATGTAATCTTCTTGCACCAATAGTTGCTTCACTCCTTTATCTGAGACCTGTTATTAAAATGATTGTTTATTCAACTCGGCTTAAATATCATCAAAGTTGGCTATAATTACGCTATAATCATCTTCAGAGATCCTCATAACTATGAACTTCAAAATAGTCATCTCGAGCAATCGGATGCTCTACAGAAGGCACCATGCCCACATTCCCATCCACATCGCAGTCGTCGGTACAAAGCATAAACAGAATTTTGGGTATAACTCGCGGTAGCTCTTTCTTGGCCTGTATAACCCAAGGATTGTCATCGTCGAATCGATTCTCGTATTTATCACCATTCTTCATATAGACCAACCGCCGGCCGTCTGGAAGCTCCTCAATAATTGGATTCCAGGCTGAAAATGGATCCCCATCAAAGGGTATGCAGTTTTCCCAGCTCATCTTTGCGCGCAGCCACGCAGTTGCCATCATGAGCCAGTCCACCTTTTCCGTCCAGTCTTGTACGCGAGATCGAAAGATGGGCGACAGGATGAGAGAAAATAGTTTGATGACTTCAGTTCTTTTGCGGTTGTGGATGTCTCTCTCAAAGAGGGCGTGGAAAGAGCTGATGTTTTGCTCATCGTCAAAATCCACTAGTTGAACTGGTGCATCAAGCAGCAGGCCAAAGAGGCCCGACGCGACGGCGTGCCTTCTTTTTGCATGTATAGTGATGAAGGCCATGGTAGCGGATAGGGAGATATTCGTAAATGGCCTCGGATCATAGTAAGCGTACTCGTTGTAAACCACGTTCAAATCTTCATCTACAAAGTCGTCTCTGATTTCAATGTACAGACGCTGGCGCATCCTAGACACGTCTTGCAATCCCAAGTCAAAATCGAGGTAGTACTCGGAAGGTATTGACAACGGGACCGTGTCGAGCCAGTTTAATCCGTCCTTGATAAACTCATCGACCAGCTGTTTATTTAAATCGTGGTACCCGTAGTCCCAAGTTGCCTCCTCCGTAACGTTGAGATGATAAGTGTCTAAACGAGGCTGAATCCATATAGGCCCTAGGTTCCAGTTATAATTCTGCGAGACCATCTTGCCCCAGCGCATGGCGACTTGTCTTGATTCGCGACAGACTGAGGCAATACGCGGCGGAGCAGCATTCTTGAGAGATGGCCGCACAGACCAACATTTGTGCTTCTTACGGAGGCGCTGAACTTCATAAGGATCGTCTCTCTGGACAACTCGATGAGGCAGACAATAGAACCAGATAGCCAGGCGAAGCTCTACTGGCAAAAGTGCGAACTGGGGGAATGCAGTCAATTGTAATTCCATAGTGAAATAAAAGAGATTGTTACTGTATTTGCTTAAACTGCGTGGTGGAAAAGAAAGAGATTTTCCATATGGGATGTATAGAAAGTGATTTCTTTAAGTACTGTCAAAAGCTAGCTTTTATAATTGCAACGATGGGCTTACGGAGTAGGGCGGACTGGATTAATTATAAACCGATAAGTTAATTAAAATTATTATAGCTTAGGTATTATTAATAAGGAAATTATTATAAATATTAATTAAAATTTAAATAAAAATAAAATAAAAACATTATAGTTTTTTATTTTATTTATGTTAAATAAGTTAATAAAATAAAATTAAAATAAATATTATAATAAATATTAAAATAAATATTAAAATAAATATTAAAATAAATATTAAAATAAATATTAAAATAATAATTAAAATAATAATTATTATAATTTAACTTTTAAAATTATAATAACAAATTTATTAAGTAAATAAAACTAAATTATTTATATTTAAAATATAAACTTAAAGTTAAGCTAAAAGTAGTGTTTATAAAGTAATAAAAAATAAAATTAAACTTAATATAGTTTTATAAAATAATAAAAAATACTAATTTAGTTTAATATAATATTTATTTTTTTTTAACTTAAAGTAAATATTTATATAAATATTTTACTTTTTATAATTATAATAGTAAAATAGTTTTTTTTTAATTAAGTTTTTATAAACTATAGTTATTAATAAACTATAATTTATAAAAGGTTTTATAAATATATATAATAAAAAAAATATTTATAATTTATAATTAAATATAACTTTAAAATGATACTTTATAAAAAATTAAAAATAATTATATAAATACTTTTAGGTAATAAAAAAACTATTTTAAATTAATATTAAAATTTATTATATTAATATTTTAAAAAATAATAGAAAAATATAATAAACTAATATTAACTATTACTTTTTTTATTATTAAAAAAATCTTTTATTTTTAATAAAATAAAAACTATAATTAAAAACTAAATATTAAAATAATTTTATAATAATATAACTTTTATAAAAAAACTATTATATTAAAATTAAAAAATCTAAATATTAAAAAAACTATAAAAAAAAATAATTAAATTAGTTTATAAATATTTAATTTATAAATGTAAAAGAATTAAGAAAATAATATAATAAATATAAAAATATTATATATTTAAAAAAATGAAAATATTATTAAAAAAATAATTAAATATTATATAATATATACTAAAAAAAATAAATTAATATTTACTTTATAATATACTTTATTTTCCTAAGTATAAAAAATAAACTACCTAAAAAAACTAAAATTAAAATAATTATTATTAAATTTTTAATTATTAACTATTAATTAGCCTAGTAAATCTATATTTTTTCTTTTATAAATAGTTTAGGTTACTTTTTTTTACCTTATTTATTTTTAAGGCTTTAATATACCTTCTCCACTATATTAATTATATTTTTATTATAAGTTTTCGTTACAGTAGCTATTATTTTTACTATAGTTATAAACAGTTTTTTATTGCTTTTAGCTATTTTAGCTATTTATACATTAGATTTTTAATTAACCTTTAAATTATCTTATAGTAATTACTATAAAGATTCTTTACTTTTATATTATATTATTTTATTAAGTTTTTTAAAAAAAATATATAATTTATTTTTAAAAATTATTATTGCTTTTTATTACTTAATGAATAATATAACAGCCTTTTTACTTTAATTAAGTTATTAAACTATAATTTAAAATTTTTATATTATATTTAAACTTTATTATTTAAACTTTTTTATATATTTTAAGTTTAGTTTTAAACTTTAATAAACAGTTATACTTTTTATATTTCTTTT